CATCACGTCTGTTGCGAAGAAGCCTCCTCACCTCCGTAAACGCCGCTCGAGCCCTGGCCACAGCCGCCGTATAATCAGATGTGATGATGATTGGTGTCTCTTTAAAACGAAGAGAACCATGACTCCGAGCCTGATGAAGTATTTCCACACATTCTTGATAATAGTGCAGCTTAGCGACAATAACTCGCGGTTTATTGCCTGACCTGTTTCCACCTGGAGAGCGATGGGCTCAGTCAACCAGTGGCTCTTTATCCATCTGTAGAACCTCTGCTAGCAGTTTAGCCACTGCTGAAGTGGAGACGAATTCTGGCGTTTCAGGAACTCCAATAATCCGCACATTGCACCTCCTCATGCGCCCTTCCATATCGTCATACTTCTTTTTGAGCCCATTGACTTCTTCTTTCAGTTCCAGCACGGTGGTGCGCAGAGAAACCACCTCATCAAACCAGGTTGACAAACCATTCTCCACCTCCTTAACGCTTTGATTAACGTGGTCCAGGTCTGCGCGCAGTAGAATCGTGCCGTTAGCCACCTCCGCTCTCACCGCTTGTAGCTCCCCTTTAATAAGAGTAAACTCTTCAGCCAAAGCCGCTTTTATTTCAGATTTGATCACAGCTGAGAGATCGGTTTTATAGCAGCAAGAATGTCAGACTTCAAGGAGAGTGCGTTCGCCTCACTGTGGGAGGGAGAGGGGGCGCCGAAACTCCGGCTTTAGCTGCAGTCAGCTCCGAGGCAGTGTCTGGCCTAACAGCCGTCGAGCTAGAATGTTTGCCTTTCCTCGAGTTTGTCGCCATTCTTCTACTGTTCCAGGCAAGAATCATATACATATTTACATGAGTATGTGAGTACAGTACATGGAGTATTTTTTGGGTGCTTCGACTGTTTCTGGAAGCAGTACAAACCCATATGGAAGAATGTTAAAAAAAAAGAAAATTTGGCATTTTAGGTCCGCTTTAATTTCCTTACTTTCTGATTCACCTCATGAGCCCCTGAAGACCTCTGGCGCACCTAAGGAAGACATGCTCCAGTTTGAAAACCCCTTAGTTAGGAAGCATGGCCTTTATGGTCAAGAGGTCATGTGGACAGTGGATCCTTCATTCTACAGTTGTTTATTGATCACTAAACATGTTACGAATTTGTATATTTTATGAGCATCAACTAAACTGGCATATATGTGGCATATGTACTGTGGCATTTATATAAAAAGTATTTTAAATATTTTACTTATGACATTCAGAGACATGTTAGGGGATTGATATAAACAGAATTTCTTGGAGAAAATCTGCCAGCAAGCAAGATTAGTGCACAGAATCTGTTACCATGGTAATAGACTCTGAGAATGTTTTACCCCTCCAGTTGGATCAATAAGGAAATACTCAGTATGAGGAGAGTTTGCCATAAGGCTGAGCATCAGTGGAAAAGAGCCAAGCTGGAGGTTCACAGGCTCTATCTTAAAGAACTGATCATCACCTCCTCCAAAACTACCAGAACCAATTATTTTGCAAATCTCAACAAATACAAAGGAAGAAATCCAAAAATCTTGTTTGACGCAATCAAGAACATGGTTTCACCGACTTTTTTCTGTTTTTTTTCTTTTCTTTTTTTTTAGTAAAGAAGAAAAAGAGAATGTAGACGAGAAATATATAGGAACTGTAAAGAGAGAAACCGATAGAAATTAGACAACATGTGAAATATACACCAGTAACACACAGAACAACACACCCGACATCTGAACATCAGCAAATGAAGAGAACAAACASYCAGCAACCAAACATAAACATATGTATGTACATAAACCCATACGCACATTTWTAAATATATACACACACATATACACATCCACACCCTAGTACAATAATTACAACCTCGCTAAGTAATATACACAAAACACACCCATACACACAACCAGACACACACATACAAACATACACACATTTACACCTATGTACATACGTACGCACACACACACACACACACACACACACACACACACACACACA